CAAGGGTATGTATTGATCAGTTGATGAAAATGTGACCAGAGGCTCGCAGGAACCTAACCCTGTATTTCCCGTGGAGCAATGGTGTTCCACAAATTCAGTGTTTGCGGTGACTTGATAGAACATCATTACTGCAAATAATGCGAATCAACTGTACTATTACCCCCACTACTCTGACACACAAGGGGTTGCCATAAATCACAGTAGTCGCAGCGATGGGCTTGAACATGCTGGTGGTTTTGAGGATGACTCAGGACTAGGCAATGTTTCCTTCTGTTGTACATAAGGTCACCATGAATCACAGCCAGCTCGATGGCAGCTATCTATCACTACAATTAGTGGCTACTATTTATTGAGTTCTTTTGTGAGTTAATTAATTAAGTGCTTTATATGTATTAATTAGTCGGATCCTCACAACTTGATGGAGTAGGTATTCCGATGCCCATTTTATAGGTTAAACTGAGGCCCAAAGAGTCTAGGACATGCCCAATTCCTTCAGCTGGGGCGCAGTAGGGCCCAGGTAGGAACTCAGAGGCCCAACTCTCAACACCACAGTCCACCCCTCCGCTGTGAAGACCCTCTCCCTGTGTTCTGCAGCTCACCTTTTGCCATGGGGAATCTGAAAATCACTGAGGGCTTGCAGACACCTGAATTCAGATGCAGGGGCAAAAAAGGCCCAAACAGCAGCCGTTACATTTGCCCCCAGTCCAGCCTACTGTCCCATAGCCAAGGGCCCCTGGCAGGCTATTCCTTTCCAAGACCCACCTGGGAGCCCCAGAAACCCCAAACAGGAGGAAGGGATGTCCTAAAAGGGGTTTTAATCTTCAGAGGGGTGACTCCGCCACAACAGAAGCAGGCTGTCTACGTTATCTTTCAGGGTGGTGAGCTTTCTACAGAGCCAGTCCTCTCTCCCCTAAGAGGTCCAGGAAAGTGTTGTTCCCCAAAGAGTAGAGCAAGCCATGCCCCACCTACCTGAGAAAGAGGAACCAGCCACTTGTTGCTCTAACACAACATGGCAGGCGGGTTCTCGGATCTCAAAATATAGACAAGGGGCCCATCTCCGCCAGAACAACCCAATAGTCCACAACCCACTCATTCACTCATCAATATATCAGACATCTATTTATGCCCACAGTCTTTCACATTGTGGTTTCTAGTGACTACACTGTGCTCCACCACATGGATAGACTAGAGCTTAACCAAAGCAAAAGGGCCCTGGTGGCACAGTGCTTCAAGCACTTGGCTGCTAACTGAAAGGTGGGAGGTTCGAAACCACCAGCAGCTCCATGGGAGAAAGATGTGGCAGTCTGCTTCCGTAAATCTTCAGCCTAGGAAACCCTAACAGGCAGTTCTACCCTGTCCTATAGGGTCATTATGAATCAGAATCTACCTGACAGCAACGGAAAACCAAAGCAAATCCTTTGGACATTTGGTTTATTTCAAATATTGGCTATTAGTTTTAAGAGCCTAAATCATGTAGCCAAAACATAGCATCTATCCTTATTTCCTCAGAGCCCCAGTGGCTCAGTGGTTAAGAACTTGGCTGCTAATCAAAAGGTTGGCAGTTTGAATCCACCAGCTGCCCCTTGGAAGCCCCACGGGGCAGTTCTACTCTGTTCTATAGGGTCACAACAGCAACGGGTACAGGTATCCTTATTTCCTTAGGAGAAATTCCTAGAAGTCAAAGGGGACACGTTATTTTAAGGCTTTTGACAGAAACTCCCAAATGACCCTCTATAGAAATGTCTGGGTTTTTCTCCTAGCCAGTCCTCATGAGAATAAATGACACCACTTTTAATAAATAACTACAGCTGAAAAGACCACTAGAAAGGCACACACCATTGATCCATGAATCTGTACCAAAAAAGTGCTTTAATGATCCCGCCAATAGATGGCACTCTTTGCTAAGATTTTAAGAGTCCTGCCCTCCAAGGAAGGCATTTTAAGATTTTATTCAGTTCGCACTGAGGAAATCTGAGATGCATATAAATTAAAACGATTTTGCATGAGCAAGGCTAGAACATTATTATACGAAAGCCAAGTAAAATTCAGCAGCAGGGGACGCTATCCAGGAGGGTCTTGAAAATGCTCATGGAATATTGCCCTTCCTGCTCCACCATTGGTTCCCAGGCCTTTCTGGGCCCCTGCTGCGCCTCTGCACCCCACCCCCAACTCACTTGCCCAGGGCTCAAGGCCCCGGGAAAGCCTGCTCTGACCTGCCAGGCCCCTGGTTCCTCTCTCACCACCTTGTAACACCCTCGTCTTATCACGATTGTCATTTTACACGTATGATTGCTGATCATCTCTGGGCTCAAAGCCCCACCAGGCCCTCACTGTCATGCACCTGGAGCTCAGCGCGGGGGCTGGCACCGAGCTCACCTGCCAGACGTGTTTGCGGAATGAATCAGGGGCCCTTTCCCCATAGGATGAAATACATCCTGAGATTGTCCAGCCTTAGCTGCTATGGATGACAGAAATGGAAACCTAATGGTCTAAAAGGTAAATTGATTGTGGTGGCAGACAGATTAGAAATACTATACAGGTTCGGGGTTTAAATATAGAATCACCATCTGTCCCAGCAATTTGCAATTCCACTCCTAGGTATACACCCAAAGGACTGAAAGCAGGGACTCAAACAGACTCTTACGCACCAATGTTCACAGCAGCACTATTCACGACAGCCAAAAGATGGAAACAACCCAAGTGTCCATCAAGAGATGATGGATAAACAAAATGTGGTTTATACATACTAGTTGCTGTCCAGTGGCCTCCAACTCATCGAGACTTCACATGTGTCAGAGTAACTCTGCTCCATAGGGTTTTCAATGTTTGATTTTTTTCAGAAGATTGCCAGGCCTTTCACCCAGAGTGCCTCTGGATGGACTGGAACTTCCAACTCTTCGGTTAGCAGCTGAGCACATTAACAAGTTGCACCATCCAGGGACTCTTGTATATTCATACAGTGGAATATTATTCAGCCATAAAGAGAAATGAAGTCCTGATACATGCCACGACATGGATGAACCCTGAAAATATTATGCTGAGTGAAAGCAAAACACACTAGGACACATATTGTATGATCCTGCTTATATGAAACATCTAAAATAGGCACATGTGTAGAGACCAAAGTTCATTCGTGATTACTAGGGGCTGGAGGGAGAGGGAAATGAGGAATTTTTTTTAAAAAAGTGTGATCTGGGCTAACTGCCTCAACTCTGGAGTCCCGTTTCTCACTATAGTAAATGGAACTTATACCTACTTAAAACAAAAAAAGACAAGGGTTCTGGTCCACTTACATAACCTTGCTAAACCTCAGTTTCCTCATCTATAAAAGGGCTACAATAATGGTGCCGCCAGATTAAATAAGAAGTTGCTCATGAGGCCTTAGCACATGCCTGGTGCCTAATAAGCCACAGTAAGCCCTGGTGGGGCAGTGGTTAAGAGCTCCACTGTTAACCAAAAGTCACGGACAGTTCGAATCCACTAGTCTCTCCTTGGAAACCCTCTGGGGCAGTTTTACCCTGCCCTACAGGGTCGCTATGAGACAGAAATGACTCCATGGCAAAGGGATTTTTTTTTTTTTTTAAGTTCGCTCAGTGTCTCCTGTTAGAGGCATGCCCCAAAAGGACGGTGGGGAGAACAGAATGGAGAGCTTTTTATTCCCCCAAATCCACCAGCCTAGACGATATACTTGCAGTTACAATTCGTGTGACCTTTTGGCTCTTTGCTTTTGGCTGCATGGGCCGATTTCCGAGGGTTCCAGTATCAGAGGAAAAATGGGCTGGGAGTGAGGTAGATACCGCCTGTGTACTCGTCCACCGCACCCCACCCCCACCCCCACCCCCATTGGGCTCCAGAGACAGGCTGGATGGCCGAGAGTCAGGCCAGCTGGAGATGGAGGGGCAGGTCCTCTTCGCCGGGTTATTCCTCAGAATCCTGTCTGCTGGGCAGGCTGCCCTGCCCTGAAGATAGGCACTTCACCTTGTGAAACTGGACAGTCCCCTGAATGAGCCCCCCGCGGGGTCATTTCAGATTTGTTCTTGTTAATGCGCTTTCTCGAGGACCCTTTTCCCATGCAGACGCCCAGTAAACATGAGCATTTGGCGGGGACCAGCAGCTTCCTTCTGGAGTCTTCTCTGACTATCTACCATCCTGTTTCCAAACCCAGGTGGGGACAGCCACCTCACTCTGTTTCTGACAAGGGATTCCACCCAGCCCTTGGTACCTAAGCCCTCTCTGGGTTCTCCAAGTCACAGGCTCAAGCCCCCGCCCGGTAGGTTCGGATTCCAGAGCTAGACTGGGGGGAGAGGAGGGTGTCTCCTGGCTTTTACCTAGGGTTCCCCAATTTGGCGGGTTCCTGTTCCCCAAGCCCGGGTTACCGCAGAGCTACCTTCCCAAAGCTGCGCCTCCCCCAGCTGCTCTATGCAGAGGGCGCCGGCGTACAGTGGGGTGTCCGCGCCGGGTGGGCCCAGCCCCTCCCCCAGGCCCTCTCCCACACCCCACGTACCACGGCCAGTGCCCAGAGCGCGGACAACGGTTTTCTTCCCTCAGGACTGCGAGCGTCCCCGAGGAGAGCTGGTGACCACTCTCTCATACCCTCCAAGCCAGGAGAACGGGACTCGGGGACCCTAGCACCTCAGTCCATCGCCCGCATAGCGAGGGAGTCGCGCCTGGGGCACCCGAGAGGAGCCGGTAGGAGGGCGCGGGGCTGGGATGCACTGGGGCCGAGGCCTTGCGGGGCTGGGTGGCCGCTGGGTGCCCACCTGGTGTCGGGGGCTCGGGGACCACGCGGAGCCGGACCTGCCTGCAGACTTCAAATGCTCGAGGCAAAGTCTCCAACTCAGCCGCAGCGGGGCGGGGCCTTGAGGGGGGGCGGGGCCGAGGGGACGGAGAACGGGGCGCGTCGTGTGGGCGGGGCCGCGTGGCGTAATTTAGGCACTGCCTTAGCAGGGATCGAGGCGTACACGCGCACTGGCGCCGGCCCTGGTACTTTGGGCTCCCCGGCCAGGCCGAACGCGGCAGCATGGCGGGCGCGGCCCCCAAGCGGCGTGCGTTTGCGACCCCAGCGGCCGGCGAGGAGGAGGAGCGGCAGGCGCGGGAGCGGATGCTGGCGGAGCGGCTCGCGGCTGGGGTGGCTGGGGCGGCTGGGGCGGCGGGCGGCCAGGACGTGACGCTGCAGCGCTCCATCACGCTGCTCAACGGCGTGGCCATCATCGTAGGCACCATCATTGGTTCAGGTATATTCGTGACCCCCACCGGCGTGCTAAAGGAGGCGGGCTCGCCGGGAATGGCGCTCGTGGTGTGGGCCGTGTGCGGCATCTTTTCCATCGTGGGCGCCCTCTGTTATGCCGAGCTGGGCACCACCATCACCAAGTCAGGCGGCGACTATGCCTACATGCTGGAGGTCTACGGCTCGCTGCCCGCCTTCCTAAAGCTCTGGATCGAGTTGCTCATCATCCGGCCCTCCTCGCAGTACATCGTGGCGCTCGTCTTCGCCACCTACCTGCTCAAGCCGCTCTTCCCCACCTGCCCGGTGCCCGAGGAGGCGGCCAAGCTGGTGGCCTGCCTCTGCGTGTGTGAGTACTGGCCCCGGGCCATCCCTGCTTCCCCGCACCATCCCCGCATCCTGGCATCCCCAGGCCATCCCTGCATCCCTGCGTCCTTGGGCGAGCCCTGCATCCTTGAACTGGCCTCAGGCCATCCTTGCATCTCCAGACATCAGCCCCGCATCCCCGCAACTCTAGGCTAGGGTCACTGATCCAAACTCGTGTGCATTTCTTTCATTCATTTGTCTGTCTCCCAGCATGCTGGGAGCATGCAGTGAGACCACCACCGTAGGGCCCCTGCTCTGATTCTCCCCACGTTTCCTGGCCCCACTGAGCCCACTCACTGTAGGTGGTGCTGAGTAATATTTGCTGCCTGTTACACAAGGCACCCACGTGGAGTTGCCTGTTTGAGTTCCCAAGAGCTGACTGGTTGTTGAGAAGAAAATTGCTGTTAAAAAATTTTTCATTCATTTTTGATCTATCAGGCAGTGATTATACAAGCTGACTCATAACAGAAGAATTGTGATAATGTTTTATGTGGCTAGCATTTTGGCTAAGCAGCAATAATCTCACGGAAGGTTGCGTAGTAGTGAAGAGAGGGGTGCTTGCCTGCAGATGATGAAATGTGTGTGTGTGTGTGTGTTAGAGGGGTGGGGGGGAGTTGGGTAGTAGGCTTAGGAGTCCTAAATTGTGCTGAGAAGTAGCCTTTGGGCATAGTTGTAATACGTTGTTGAGCCTGACCCTAATGTGTTGTTGGGTATGTTCTAATATGTGCCTGGCATGGCCCTAATATGTGCTGGTCATCGTCCTAATATGTTCCTGGGTGTGGTCTACATGTTGAGTGAACCAGGCCAGAAAGAATTGCTGCTTTGCAAAAGTTTTCTCCTTTTGTATCAAATGCCATGTGATCTTTTGGCTCTTGGCAATTTTCAAGCCGATCTCTTGGGCAGCCTCTAAGGAGGTTTGAAAGGCTGAAGTGTCCCACTTTTCCAAGTTTACACTGGAGCCCTGAGCACATCCAAACTTAGATTTGTGCTGAGAGCTGCCACCTGCTTTAGGAATCTGCCTGAATCTTGAGAATGCATGTAAATTCAGGGTCATGGGACTAAAGTATGGTTTGGAGTAAGTAGCCATGAAATCCAGGGGGCTGTGCATTCCCTTGGGGGTATTTTGGTGAGTCTGTGGCTTCTGACTGGCCATACCCGTGGGTGCCAGAACACTTGGGTGTTAAGCTGTTGGAATTTTGCAGTGTGGCGACTGTGATTCCATCTGTATCGCACTATGCTGGGGGCGGGTGGGGGGGGCATTTCAGAACCATGACGTGGGTTCCATCAATTTGTGAATGCAGACAGGCAAAACTCAATGCCGCTCTTTTCATCCCTGCACCCCTGTATCCCCAGACCATCTCTGCATCCCTTCATCCCCAGGGCTGGGACCAGAAGCTTTCCTGAAACTGTACAGAGAATAACCACATCAGGGTGGAGGGGAACATGACTGGCCTTTGGAGACATCTCAATGATGTGGATCTCTGCTTAATAAATTTTTGTTTGGTCCAAATCTATGAATTGTTGATCCACCGAAGGACGGGAGTTTGGCAAACCTGCGGTTCTCACTGGGCACCGGAGATGGATTTCTTTGGGCTGAGTAAGGAAAGAAGAAACCCTTTAAAGAGATTACTTGGTTTGCTTGTTTTTTCTTGATGAGAATTTTGATTGTCCCGTTTTCATCATTGCTAGCTATTTAATGTTTCAGCCCAGGATGTAAGACAGAAATAGTGTGTTTAAAGGCCTGCACGCTTGTTAAAAACAGACAGCTCAGTACCAAGCCTTGGCCTTCTTTCTGATGGTGCCAGGGGAAAGCCTCGGGAAATGCTACTTTGGCCAACGGGAGGGAGATTTCGGATTGGGGAGGAGGAGGAGGAGATAATTTTATTTACCCCCTCCCCTTTTTTTTTTTAATTGTTATGCTTTAACGTTTACAATTCAAATTAGTCTCTCATACAAAAATTTATACATACGTTGTTTTGTGACCCTAGGTGCTCTCCCTATACTGTGACAGCACACTCTTCCTTTCCACCCTGGATTTCTCGTGTCCATTCAACCAGCTCCTGACTCTCTCTGCCTTCTCATCTCGCCTCTGGGCAGGAGCTGCCCATTTAGTCTCGTGTATCTACTTGAGCTAAGAAGCACACTCTTCACGAGTATCATTTTATGTCCCATAGTCCGGTCTAATCTTTGTCTGAAGAGTTAGCCTCGGGAATGGTTTTAGTTTTGGGCTAACAGAGAGTCCAGGGGCCTTGTCTTCTGGGGTAATTTTCTTTTTCTAATTAAAAATCAATTCATGCATGAGTACATTATCATTTAAAAATTCAAACTGTGAAATGTGTGGAGAGTAAGACAGGAGAAAGTCTGTACCACCTCCCCTCCCTTCCCTGGAGCTACCGTGGCTAACAGTGCAGAGTGGATCCTTCCAGAGCTTTCTCTGCTACAAATATACAGTTAGCTTATTTTTTTAAAATATAAATTGGATCTTAATATACGAATTGTCCTCCACCCTGCCTTTTTTTCCAAGCCTAAAATGATTTTGAGATGTTTTCCACAGCAGTACATAAAATTGCACCTCATACTTTTGAACCACTAAGTAACAGTCCCCCATGATCCCCCCCACCAAGGAGGACATGTAGGGGTTCCAAACACAGTGTTGCTGTGAATACCTTTGTACATCCAGCTTCGAGGGAATGGGCAGGAATGGAATTTCTAGTAATTTCCATGGTTAGGTATCCAGAGGGGTAACAGCTGGAGGCAAGAGGGTGTTTGTGGGTTCTAACTTGGTGACCAAAGGCCTTCCCAAAGAGGCTGAACCCATTTGCATGTCCCTGGGATTCCTTTGATGATAAAAATGATAACATGGCTATTCATCATAATTTAGTTAGGATTAAACCATTTCAAGTGGCATTCAAACAGGCCTTTCAGGTCTCAGTAGGTGGAGCCTTCAGATAGGTGCTATACCCTTGTCAACATTATGCTGTTCGATGTTTTTCATTTGCTGGGCCGAGAGGCGAAGATCCAGAGTCTCCATTGTGTTAGTTAGCATCCCTTTCCGTAGGCGTAAGGCGACACCTTCTCAAGTGTCCATCAGCCATAGGTAGTTCATTTTCTCTGAACGGCCTGTGTGCGTATGTTAATGTGCATGTATTTTACATACATGTATACACCTGCACACATGTATATGCATGCATGCATTTTTCTCTTTATTTTAATTTTGATGAAAATATACACAGCAGAACATAACACCCATTCGTCAGTTTCTGCATGTACAATTCAATAACATTGGTTACATTCTCCACATTGTGTCACCATTCTTGCTGTCTCTACCCATATTGTTTCACCACCGTTGACTTAGACTCACTGCCCCCCAAACTTCTTATCTGTGCTTTTAGAGTCACTGTTGACAGTTTGATCTCATATAAACCAAAAACCAAATCTGTTACCGTCGAGTTGATTCTGACTCCTAGTGACCCTATAGGACAGAGTAGAACCGCCCCATAAAGTTTCCAAGGCTGTAAATCTTTACAGGAGCAGACTGCCACATCTTTGTCCCACAGAGCAGCTGGTGGGTTCGAACTGTTGACCATTTGGTTAGGAGCTGAGCACTTAACCACTGCACCACCAGGGCTCCTTTTGATCTCATCTAGATGATTCTTTAAAAGAGCATAGTGCTCATGGTGTACATGCTTTACTAATTTAGCTAAACAGTTGTTTAAAGATGACTTCAGAGGATAATTTCAATTCGTGGCTTGAAGATTTTCTCAGAGTGATGGAAGGGGGATTTTTAGTAGCAGAAAAGTATACATTGTCTGGAATGGTCATGCTAGGCTAAACAAAAGGGAGGCCACTGCTCTCCATACCCTCAGCGCTTGGTCTGGAGAGGAGATAGACTTGTCTACGGCTAGGAGGGCAGCAGGCCAACTTTTATGTGGTATGCTGATTCAGGTACAGGAGAAGGTTAGGGAGGTCCAGGGCAGAAGACTCCTCCTGCCAGGACATCTAAGCAGGCATCCTCAAGCCGGTGGCGCTGGGTACTACCAGCAGTGGAGGCGGAGGCAGAGATGGCGCCTTCCAGGTACAGGAGGCAGCCTGGAGCCCTGAGGGTTGGTGGCGCCAGACCACTGCAGGGCTGGGAGGAGAGGCTGGACGTGTGGCCTAGGACACCAGCCTGAGGCTTGTGAGGACGTTGTTCTTGAGGCAGCAAAGGGCCACAGAATTTGAGGGTATTTTTTATTTGTTGGGAGTCCCTGGTAGTACACGCTCAGCTGCTAACCAAAAGGTTGGAGGTTCGATCCCACCCAAAGGCACCTCAGAAGAAAGGCCTGATGATCTGCTTCTGAAAGGTCACAGCCATTGAAAGCCCTGTGGAACACAGTTCTACTCTGCACACATGGGATCGCCATGCGTTGGGTTGATTGGACAGCAACGAGTCTGGTGTTTTTTTTTTCTTTTTTAAACTTGTACCTAGAGCAGGGTTGCCAAGCAGGGTTCTAGAATTCTTCCTGAGGAAAAGGACACGTGTACCGTACTTCCCTGGACCCTGCAGCAGTGTGTGCCATGGGAAGGCTTTTGGGGTCTGCACCCCAGACTCTGGAGCCTGAACAGGCCCCGGTCTTGGTGACACAGGAGTCACGAATTCTAGAACAGAATTCTTGTTTTGCTGGCTTAGCTCCTTTTCAGGCCCCTGGACACATCCCACAAAAAGCTTCTTTCTGCTTTTTACAAGTTTGTCTTGTGAAATGGGCTGGCCTTGGTGCTTAGAATAATCCTGCTGACAGGAGAAATGAAAAAAGGACTCTTTCTTGTAGGTCTGCCGCTTGGAATTAAGGGAGGGTCCTTTCCTTCGAGTGTCTTTTTAGCGTTTTTTTAATTAGGCATAAAGGTGAGTGGATCAAGCTACATAATATTTTTCTAAACGACATATGGTGTTTGGTGTGGGAATGCATTTATGTGGATTATACTCCATAGCAATTACCTGAATTT